TGTTTTTTTTATAATCTGTAGGGTGTGTTTTATGTTGGGTTTCAGGTCTTTTTGTGTTTTTTTATTCTTTTTGTGCGTCTAACTGTCTCTCAGACTCGTGGTGTAGACGTGTCACGTGACTGTCGCTGATGATAAACAAACAGAATGAGTTTCTAAACGTGCTAATCGGACTCTCGTTGTCTCTCAGTGTCTCTGGCCTCCAGCACCGTCGGACTCGCCGGTCAGGTCGTTCACACGGAAACCACGGAGGTGACGTTGCTCGGCGACGGCATCATGGGCTTCGGCCTGCAGCTGCAGGGCGGAGTCTTCGCCACGGAAACGCTGTCGTCGCCGCCGCTCATCGCCTACATCGACCCCGACAGTCCAGCCGAGAGGTAACGCTGCTGCAAATAAACACCGTCGTCATTTATTGGTGCAACAATAAAACAAAATACAATAACACAATAAAATAGCCTTAACCCTAATAACTCAATGATTGGTTCTCTGATGTGACATCATCACTTTAATGACGTCACACAAACAAGTTTTTCATTATTATTAAGACAATAAATTTGCTGCAAATATTCCGATTTAGTTTTTATTCGAGGATTTTTACTCCATTAAAAAATGACCGTAATAGAAAAGATTCAGCTCCTTAATATTTTATCTTTTTATTTATTTTGAATGCTATTTATATTTTGTTAATTTTATTTCTTGCATTTTTTCTATATGTTTGTTTATTTTTATTTGGGGCTAAAACAAGAAAAAATTAATCAACTTTGACAGCTGATGAATTATTTGCGTCTTCGTTGCTTCTAAATTTGTGAAATCGGCTCTTTGTGTGTTTTATGTGACATTAATCTGGAGTTAATCTTTAAGTTCTGAGCTTCTCAGCTGGATCCCGTTTACACGTCAAACAGCTGTGAGATGAATAATAAAACTAATCTTGCAGCCCGACTCGTTTTATATCCGTTCTTTCTTTGTCGTCCGTGTTGGTGCAGATGTGGGATCCTGCAGATCGGCGACCGGATTCTGTCCATCAACGGCGTCCCGACCGAGGACTCGACTCTGGAGGAAACAAACCAGCTGCTCCGAGACTCGTCCATCACAGCTCAACTCACGCTGGAGATCGAGTTCGACGTCGCCGGTAAACACAGAAGAACCCGTTTAGAACCAGATTACTTCAGTTTAACAGCCAGAAACTGGTCAAACACTGAAATCCTGAATTATTTGCTTGAATTAAACTCAACAACGAGTCCATTTGTAGTTTTCCTCATTGTTGTTTGTTTTACTCGCTGACAGAGTGAATAGAAGCTTCGGGGTTTAGCTCCGGTCCCGTTTCCAGCCCGTTCGACCCAGTTTTCTTTGTGTTTTCTGAAAGTGGCAGCGAGCGGCGAGCCAACAGTCTGGAGTCTGTTCGGGCTGATCGGCTGCCAGTCTGTGTTTGGTCGTCTTTGTGAACGCAACACGCTCCGGCTGGTGTAAATAACCACCTACGCCTCGCTTTAATAGAACAACACAACATGCTGCCGCCGGTGACTCACACACACTTTGTGCGACGATCTGTAGCCGAGAGGGACGATTCGCTGTAAGAGATAGCGTCGGCGCCAAACTCAGGACGAACACATTGTTGTCAGAACGGCGCCAGAAGTAGACGGACGCCAACGTGGGAGCTGTTGTCTAAACAAAGACGCTGAAATCACTCAGAGACACTTCATCCTGCACGTTTCATTCAAGAAATCTGCAAAAAATTAGCAGTTTGCACCAGATTCTGTAAAAACAAAAACAAAAAAAAACAAACGTAACTGATTCTCCACGACTGACTCGACTGTGACCAACAGTTAAAAGTTCAGGTTGAACAGCAGGCAGCATTGGCAATATTGTGTATTTGGACAAAGTTTTAGTTATTTTAGGCAAATTTCTTTGTCATTCGTGAGAAGTTTGGAAGATTTTTAAGACGACTGTTACAGTCATGACTCAATAATCGACCCTTAACAATCCTAAACCTGCTGTCCGACAGGTTTGTAGGAAAAACCAACAGAACCCATAAAAACAGCCTTAACATAGCGACAGCCTTGGATTGTGACTCCGACATGACATTTAATGTCACCAATCAGGATGACGGCGTATTATCTGACTGAACAATCCCACAGA